TGTCCTGCTCTCTGCTCTTTAGCTCTGGGGATGCAACTTAAGAAAGCCACATCTTAGCAGAAAACAGTAAGATACCAAGCCTGTGTTGGAAACCCGCAGCTTCCTTGTCAAATGAGATATCTCATTACAGTCTCTCAATAGAAACAGTTTGTCACAGGGTGGATGCTACCAGAACATATCAGAAGTGCAGGGGCTGAGCCTGTAAATAACACATCAAGTCTGACCACTGACATTCATCAGGAAAGGTTCAAGGCAACCACGGTTATTGAAGAGCTAAGAATCAATAACATGGACTCAGGATGGGACTCCTTCTTGTAACCATGGGAAGACAGAGGGAAACAAAGGAGGGTCATGGCTTTCACACCCTCACTTGACTGCATGAGATGGTCAAAACACCTTACCACTGCAATGAAATTGGCCACTACACTATTTCCTAGGTTCGTGCACCCCCAACTGAGACATTCTTGAAGAAGCATAAGAGAGTTTCTCCATCAGATTCTGCCAGTATTTATTTTAAAAACATTATTAATAAACTCCAGGACTAGTTAAAAGATTAATTTATTGCCATTTAAACCTAAAACTGAATGCACTTGTGATCCAAGAACTGGGAAATGTTCCTTAGTCTTGTAGTCTAGACATAGCTGAAATGATTGGAATCACTTCTGAGAAATTTTACTTATACTAAAAATATAAGATGTGAAAGACTTTGGAAAAATATGCTAAATGAATCAGTTGCATTGGCCAGCCGTTGTGTTTTTCATGGTCCATGTTTCTCTGGATTGTGGCCAAAACTACACTGAGTCTTGAGCTTTGCCATTGGGTTAAGCCTCAACTATCCCTGTACTGATCTCACAAGTCCTACTGACATCAATGCCACAGCATCTGCTGTGCCCAGGGGCTGGGCAAGGAACCAGTAAAGCCACAGCAAGAGGAAGAACAATGCTCCTTCCAGGAGCAGCAAAACTCTGAGACAAAGGAGAGGAGGAAGACAGAAGTGGAATTCGTGCTTGTTCCACTGTTGGTATCATCTAAGTTGCACAGAGGTGCATGTCTGCGCTGCTGTCATGGAGCAGGTCTTGAGATGACAAGAAAGGAAAACTGCTAAAGGATGTGTTTTGGTTTTCAGTGTTGCAACACAGGTCTTGCTACACAGGTCTGCAGCTATGATGCTGCTGTTGTTGTTACTTATCTAAGTCTACTGGAAAGGGTCAAGTCCAGAAAGATCCAGAAAGTCAGTCCCAGCAATGGAAAAGACCAAACAAAGAGAAGCAGGGGCAGGTTTGTTGACTGAGATCTTTCCAAGACCAAATGTTTTAGTGAAGAGATCCAGGCAAAGATGATGCAGATGTGGCGAAAATTAACTGAGGCGTGGAGGCTAAGAGAGAAGATATGGAGAAATAATTTTGTTGGGCTTAATGGCAGGGGAGTTTTCAGAAATCTGCCATTGATTACAGATGCATTACTGTCAGGTGTGAGGCTTATGCAAGTTGAGATTTATGTCTCAGATGTAATATCCAGTGGGTGACTCAGTTAATGATAACTCCTTTGTCCTGTGCTTCTCTAGATCAAGCAGTGCAGATAATTATGAATAATGATAATCATTTGGATCTCAGAGAGAATTTGCACAGATAGGCACACACCTATGGGTGATGTGGCTTCATGCACAATAATTAAGCACATATGCCAAGGGAAGTGAAATAGAAAATGGGTAAAATCATTCCTTTTGGAGAAGGTTTTTTTTTAGATTTTGCACCTGAAAAGTTGTACTGTGTGCATATGTCAGGTAGCTGGCAGATTGATTTAGAGTTCACAGACCTGAGAAAACAAGAGGGTTTGCATAAACAAGAGCAGGACGGGGTGCAGAAATAAACACAAACGCTACCTCTGATCATGCCAACATGTCATGGAGCAGAGTGGTGGAACGCAGAGACACCAGTGCTGCCTCTGAAACCTCTTGAGCTGCGTCAGGACGTCGCTGTGCCTGGCTCCCAGACACCTGGCAGAGCCACCCCACACCTGGGCCAGGACCAGCCAACCCAAACCCACTCAGTTTCCTCTGCCTGGCAGCTCCCTGCATGCTGTAGATGGGCCTTGGCAAATGTGTTGAACATCTTCAGCCACACTGCTCTAAACTGCCATCAGTGTGGCTGCTTGCTCATACCCGAGAGTGGAGGTTGGTCCACTGAACTGTAGGAGGCAGAGGCACGTTCCTACAGGAGTCTAGTCAAATTTCTCACTTAAGGATGGGGTTTCACAAGCTAACAGGGCTACTTCAAAAACCTTGTTTCTGTGAAAATGCCACTTAAATTTTGCTTCTAGAATCAACATGGCAAGTAAGACTTTCTCACACTCTCTGGCAGCTTCCAGAGGAAAAGTTCAAAGGCTTATCATTTCATCAGTTGCCATCAGTTCAAAGGAGAATTTTGTCATTTCATGTTTTTAAGGCATTTCAGTGGGCTGTCTATGTGGGAGCAGCAGCTGACGTCAAGGAAGACTGTCATTCAGCTACAGGTATATGGGGGAAAACAGCCCTCTTCTACATCTCCAAACAAGGAAAATGCCTAGGAGAGCTTCAAGATCTTTCAAGGCATTATCCTGCATCTTTGGAAAAAGCCAACATAACTGGAATTTATCTCTACTATCTTTGAGCCTCATTATGGACTCCTTGTATAGGTAGTAGTTAATACACAGAGCGAGACACTTCCAGAGGGTGATTTGGCTTTTGGTGACCTGAACAGCTTTACTGTCAGTGCCAAGATCTTCAAATTCATCAGTTCATTCTATCTTAAGATTTTCTGGGGATGATTCAGCTTCAGATTAAGGCCCCTCCATTTGGATGTCTGTATGCAGGTGTCTGTATGACCACTATATCCACAAAAATGTTGTCATTAGACTGGGAATTCGAGGGTTGGATTCACCTTTGCATACAATTAGATTAAACTTCTTTCTAGGGCCCAGTTCTTGATGTGCCTTAGAGCTCATCAGCAATCCTTGCAGTTTTTTTAACAACAAAGGTTAACAACAAGGTGTCCTGCAGCACTTGCTCATGGGGTGCCTTAACATGTAGTGCCCCTTATCAGGGGTGAGCAGCTCTTTCTTAGCATTACCAAGTCTGAGCAGACCACAGAGTGCACTGCAGTGACACCACCATCATGTCAGTCCCAGAGTTGCTGTGGTCAACAACTTGGCTTGCTCTAGTCACGGGAAGATGTCCCAAAAAGGCACTGTTCCGTGCCCAGTCACCTAGTTTTATGTGCCAGAACAGCTGCTGGAGAAGCCCTGGTGCATGTGCTGGCCTTACAGTCCCTGCTATCTACACAGTTTTAATGGAACTACTTCTTAAAATTCATATGACTGCAGTCCAATCTTAATGGACTGACCATCAAAATATCTCTGCACAGCAGGGAAGAACCACTGTCTCAACAACACATACTGCAGCAGGAGAAGATGGAGCTTTCTGCTGATTCATTTGTCTAAGAAAAACTTGTCTCAATTACAGCACAAATACTCTATGTTGGCCAAAGAGGCTTCTCTCTGAGGGGAGAACTTCCCTCCTCCCAGTGCCTTGTGTTTATAATCTCCTGGGTTTTGACACTGCTCTCTGCACAGAGCCCAGCTTGGCCCCCCCTGCTTCCCCACAAGCTCCAAGGAGGCATCACACGAGAGCAGGCATGGTGGGACCATTACACTGACTGCCACAGGCAGCCCCAACAGGGAGTTGTTCCTCTTGATTTCACCACAGAAAGAATGGAGTTCTCCAGCTATTTAAGTACTTTTGTGAAAACTCACTGCAGGTGCTCTAAGACCAAAACCTGTCACCTTCTGTTACCCTATAAGAGAGTAAGAAGGGTGCCTTCTTGCTAAGGATGGGAGGTGGCCAGGACATACGTTTTAGTCTGCCACGGAGAGGAGACGAGAGCTTGTTCTCTTTATTTTCAGTGGCACACCATCAGACTGCAAGGCAAACTGCTTTCTGTAGGAATGTAATAGCTGACCTTTCATACTAGTTCCCATGGGTACTTTGAAAGACTCTTTCTAGAAATAAGTCACACATCTACTGAATAAAACCAAGGAAAATATAACTGTACTCTTTCACTTTTCTAGGAGGCACATTTCTTCAGTGTCTCAGAAAAGTCTCCGAATGTTTTTTGGCAAAATTAACCTATTTAACTGCAGATTGAACCCCAGACCAATGACACAAATTACAGAATATGACAAGGAAATTTAAAACACTTTCCAGCAACAAGTATGAGCCTTTGACAGACTGAGGTCAGTACAACATTTTGGGTATCTTAATTTTGCATGTGAGACTGACCATCATCGAACAAGGCACTGGCTGCAAAGGCCACAGTAACACCAAGCTGCTCTCTGTCATCACGGCTTCAAGGCAGCTGCATCCTGCACTTAATAATTCCCAGGGGAAATGCCTCGTGAAGAGAGAGTAGCACTAAACTCTGCTTCCAGCTTCATTCTCAGTCTAGCTGAGAGGAGAATTTGACCTTTGGTAACTTGATTAATACCAAATTAACAGATGGCTTTGGACTTTCCTTGAGATTGTTTGCTCATCCCTGTGTCTCGCTGTCCTCCCTGAGACCCCCAGACACCACCTCTGCATACACTGAAAGTGGGAGCAAGGGCCACAGTTTCGAGAGAGCAGTGGAGCTGCATATCCCTCCTCCACAACCTGCCCTGACAGAGCAGCTGGTTTCACCCTGGATGCAATGCCTTGGTGTTTTTAAGAAGTGTTACTCATGTTTTTGACATTTTACAAAGGTTATTCTGAAATTTCTATTAAAACAACGTGGGAGAGGTGCCTGTGGAAAAATACAGCATTGGCACTGAGAGCCCCATTGCAAAGCACATTAAATTAAATGAAGCAGCACCGATACAAAAAATTTCTACCAAACCCCCATGATTTATCACAAGCATAACCTTCTCTTCTTTGTGTAATTAAAACAGACTTCAAGTAGTACAAACATGGGAGATTAAGCCCGTCTTACCTGGAATAGGTATAATGGGAATACTTTCATTGGGGACCACACGGGGGGAACTGCTGTCCTCCACATAGAAATGAGCAGTCTGGAAACACTTTCTGTTAAAGGAAAAAGAAAAGAAAAAAATACACCCAGGGTGTGAAAAACTGCCTCTGAAAAAAAACAGACAAAAACTTTCGTACGTGTTCTGCTTCTCCATTTCTGCTCCATACTTTCAGATGTTATAGTTTTAAAACATTGATGCATGAAAACATATGTGCATTTTCTACAATTACAATCCTAATTCCAGATTCTGGTGTGCTCTCATTCATTGACATCTGACATCCACCCATCATAAATGCCTCTATATATTATTGCTAAGCACTATAGAATATGAATTATACTCATAAAAGTTAGTGGCTGCAAAACAGGTTTCAAATACATCATTCAGAAAGAAACTCTGCACACAAAAAACATATTCAGCAAACAGTTCAAGCCCAAATCTACCTGAGACACTCGCATTTCCAGGGAAAATACACTTACTGTAAAAGTTTCTGCTGTGTAACAGCCAGCAGACAGTAATACAGCATCCGTAACTGCTTCATATCATGATGCTCTGCTATGAAAGTTATTCTTCAAACATTAAGGTTTTTTTATTTGTAACACTAAAGCCATATAACCCTCCTCTTGAAAACTTGTATTACATATGCTTCTCCAGAAAAATGCAATAGACACTTAGCTTGGGCCCGAGGACTCATCTCTGAAAAGGCCTATAAGGAAGAGCAGAACTTAAATCCACCTGACTCATTTTTACCTGTATTTAATGCAAAGCAGAGAGCACAAGCTGGTCATCACAGAAAAGGTACTGAGCAGAGTAACATCAAGAGATCCAGGGAGACTCTGCATGGTGATGTTAACTGAGGCAGGGTTTTCCAACACCAGCGTCACTGCTCATTGCTGACTTAATGAGCTGCTTGAGGCTGGAACTGAATATTTAATGAGTCTTGCTTGGTGTGAGCAGCTATTGTGGGCAGGAGAAGGGTCTGCTCTCATCTGTCGGGTGCTAAACAATAGCTTCCCATTTCAGAAAGATCCCCCTCATTGCCACCCTTCAGCTGCTCCTCAACACCTGGGCAAAGTTTGCAGGAGGCCTGGCGAGCTGTGCTTTTGCCAAGTTGCTGGTTCCCTTGCTCAAACATATTTGCACGTAGTGGCTTCTGAGTTCCTGCCTTGCAGTCTGGGGCTCTGCAACTCGGGCATTGTGCTCTCCATAGAGAGCCCATCGGCAGAGCCGGCTCAGCAGACTTTGTCAAAGTAATTTGTGCTCCCTTTGTTTCCAACATCCATACATGCCGGGGTGGTGGGGGGGAATGGCACTGAAAAACAAACCATCTCTTAGGCGAAACCAGAACCTAAAATAATCCCAGGTCTTTGCTTTCCAGGCATTTGTACTTTCTACTGCACAGGCACAGAGCTTTATAACACAAGAACAAGCTATGGCAGCACAAGTACAACTTAAGACAATACAGAAACAGGAGAGAGTGGATTTCACAGCATGGAGTCACTGTCTGGGAGCAGCTTTCTATTTTCAGGCATGATGTCTTGCATTGTGCTGAAGTTATTTATTTAGTGAGTATACTCACTAAATAGACTCACATATTCTTTTCTTAAGAAACACCATAAGGTGAATTCACACATGAGGATGCAAGATGTGCAATAGTCTCACAGCATTTAAAAACCTCAGTTGAACTCCCCCCACCCCGCCACTTGCTCTGTTCTCATTTTTTTTTTGGCAGCCTTTATTTTGGACAATGCACACCCTGGGGGCACACAGCAGAATAAATCAGTCACACATAAAGAAGAAACTATGAATATGAAACAGGCAAAATGTTCCTGATTTTGATGTATTTGGGGCTCTTTCCCTTGAGTCAATACTACAGAAATCCTTGAATGGCTTCTCCTGGTAATGAAGGCCTTAAAAAGGTGTTTGATAAAAACCCAGACCTTTACACAGGGATTTACAGGACTTTTTTAAAGCTGATGATACTGAAGAAAAGCAATTATTTTCTGTTAATTTGTTATTTTATACTCTGAGAGGCTCTGATAGGCTGGCATTATGGTTTTATACACAGCCATAAGATGGCTTTTTCTTAATAGCCTCGAAACATGTAATTGTGTCAGATAATCTCAATGGGTGGTATTTTAAGGCCCACGATGGCGATAGCTGAATACCCAGCCCAGTGCAACTGCTGAGCACAATGTTGGAAGAACAATGTATTAAATGAATATTTCACATAGTAAAGTTTGCTACAATCATTAATGCCATTAAAAATTCTGTGTTTTAGTCCTGGAAGACTTTCTGTAGCTGTTTTGCAAAGGCAGTCACAATGGAATTTGACTAAAGGTTTTCTCAAGTCACAAACATCACACTGAAATACACCCTCATCTGATGTAAATACCTACATAATGCAGCATGTTCATTACTTCACAATAGTGGATACTGGCACATTAGGTGAAGACACGCTTCTCAAACTGTTTTTTCCCCACTTGCTCGTAATTGCTGTACGTATTCCAAGTTTAGCCTCTCCAGGTGAGGTCACTACACACAGGCCATCTCATCCCTGTCCTGGTGACTCCTCCCATGTCTCTGGGACCATACAGGCTCAAACTTGAGAGGATGAAGTGGATCAAGCTTTAAAGGACCTTCTGCAGATTTAATGAACTCGCTGGATCGATTTCCCAGCAAGTTCTGCTTATTGGGTCTGTTTCCTACTCTTGCATCTTTCCTCTGTGCAGCACCAGGAGGGAGCACAAATCTCAGGGTGCCAGGCAGTTTGGATAATGTCCATTTTTCCTAAGTGAGGAAACATCAGGGCCTAAGAAGAGCTTTTGCAAACTCATGTCTAATGTGTAGTAATAAATACTGGTATCTGGTATCAAGGCTACTGAGAGGCATTTCAGACAATTCAGTATCTTCCTCCTCCCCCAGTTTAGGATGCTCCTTTCTATCCCTTGGCATTTCCCCTACCCATTACCTTTCCCTCCAGATACAAACCTTAAGTGGCAGCAGTTGCTAAGGCTACAAGAGGCTGCAGTAAATCTAAGTGTGTATATCAGGAGGGCTGGATAAAGGAAAAGTATCAGAGTAGGAAATTGCTTGTCTCGAGCCACTGGAGACACAGCCTAGGAGAGAGGGGGGAGTGGATGCAGGGCTAGACAAGGTGCGAATCTACATCTATTTTCACATGAGCACTTCAGCCCGTAACTTTTAACCCCAGTGTGTACACGTGGGCAGGTGTTTGCACCTGTGTGCCCACTTGCTCAGTCAGCAGAAAAAAGTACCAGATTTTTTTTCCTAATAGAAGCAGTCCTTAGTGAATGCACAACTAGGATTTGTCATGACATAAATGATTATTAAAATCTTAAAAACTGAAGCACTGATTTTAGAATAATTATTGTATTTCTGCAGCACTGGTTGAGGAAAAGAAAATCACAACCTTGATTTCACTTCCAAAAGACTTTGGGGAGCGCACATCTTTTCTGTGAAATACCAAAGAGTCTGTTGTCTCTGAAATATGCCTGTGAGCAGTGAAGCACACCATTTTCTCTAGCCCCATATGTTTTTTTGGCTCCCTTTCCCTGGGGTACAATAACTGTGCGAGATTGTGGTGATCAGACACACGGTTGTCACATATGGACCCAAATGCAGAAAGTAAAACACTGCGAGATTAGCATCTCCCCAGAGAAGGAGGAGAGGCAGGGGTTGGAACGCAAAGACAATGTGAGGGAGAGCATCCTCTGCCCAGAATCCTTTTGCAGAGATACTCGCCGTGAGTTACTAATGCAAACTAACAGGATGTAAAGTCCAGAGCAGCAGCACCTTGTTACTAAGATGAAAGCACAAAAATATGCCAAGAGATGGTCTTGATTAGCTTGTTCCATCTCTGCTGAGCAAAATACCAGATTACCTTCCTAATCTGAAGTAGAGATGCCTTGTGAGATTTTGACACTCAAACTAGGTTTCCCTTGGTTATTAGTTACTAAAGCTCAAGCAGTTTCTTCTTTATACTCCTCTAAAATCAAAAGGGAGAACTAGATCACATAGTGGCCTGAAAGCATGGAAGCATTTTACTTTCGTGTAGAAGACAGTTCCTCAGTGTTTAGTTAGTATTGCCTCCAATAGAAACACACAGCACGCCACAGTTGATGGGAGCGCTGGGAATTGCTCCGAGGGCAGTGTCTGGCCTTTACTCCTCCATGCCGGGTCTAGTGCAGGCAACATCCCCTGATCTGCAATGACAGGCGTGGGATCCACAGTGCTCCAGAGCAGCTGAGGCTGGGAGAGGAGGAGCAAGGGATTATTGCAGAAGGGCAAGTGGCCACCTCTGCAGTGGCCAGCTGGAACCACCAGGGCAGTGGCTGAACAGAAAAAAAATCAAGGGGGAATGCTTCATGTTCTGGGGACACCCAAGAGCCATGCCCTGCTTCACATGCTGAAGTGACCAGCCCATTCATTGCTCCTCGTTCACTACAGACCTTCTCCTTCTTCCAGGTGTTTATGTTGGCTGGAGCAGTGTGTATTCCCTCTTCAAGGCCAGCCAGATTTATACTATTTTATTTCTGTAAGAGCATCTAGGAGCTCTAAGCTCTGGGTTTCTTGCAACTACTCTCTTCTTGGGTCATTACCTTCTAAAGCATGACCAATTCAGGGGCAGATGGCTTGAAAGGGTCCTGGAGGCCTATTCACTACTGTCAGAGCAGGGCAAACCTTGTCCTTCAGGTACCCTTCCTCCAGAAACAGCCTCCCACAGACAGAACCACTGCAGAATGTACATTTATTAACAAAGAGACCAGTAGTCCCTGAAGCCACCCAATTTACACACACAGTCCTTAGCTGTGGGGAGAACAGGCAAAATCGAATCCGTAAGAGATCTTTAAACTAGGCTGGACAGGACATGGCTTAGTCTTTATCAAATGCAACCTGGATACAGGCATTCATTCACCATGCTCCTCCATCACAGTGTCTGCAAGTAACTCCCAAACAAAGATGCAAAGACAGGAAATGATCCCCTTTTACTACCTCTGTACATTCATTCTCACTTTCAATAGAACAAAAGCT